CAGGGGGGGCAGGGGCAAATTGATGGAACCGGTGGAAATGCGTTACGGTCAACCCTTATCTAATTTCAACAACTTGGACGACAAAACGTCTGACTGGTTTTCTATACTATGCATCAGATATCTCGCTACGTTTATAATGCCCCTATATAAATATACATGTGTGCGTGTGTCTGTGTGTGTGTGTGTGTGTGTGTGTGTGTGTATAGATGAAAGTAAATACTTATCAACAGTGAAGCTAAAGAATATTAAATCAATATTTAACAGTGCTGGGGCAAATATGCGTCATATATATATATATATATGTATATGACTATATATATATCTGATATATATATGTAAAGTCAAAGGTGTAGCTGTGTTATTTTATTGCGGGAGCTGCGGAACGGGAACCTTTCGCAAGGTCGCGTGTTTATCGCGGAGCGTACTGCACTTCACATAGGCCCACGAAATGGCGTGTTCCTCGACGCCCAACAGGCCCATTTTCATTTCCATTTCCATTTCCATTGCTAGACCCCCGGCCCACATGTCGTTGAGCGCGTAGACACAGCGTCTACCCGAGTTCGCACAAAGACTTCACTTCTTTTTGTTGTTTTCTTTATTATTTTTACTTTGATTAGATCACTTGGCAAACGGCGAACTGATATCAGATGTGTGTCATATGGACGGGCCTCTGTTGCGATTGGACGTTCCAAGGTTAGACGCAGTGCGGATTTGTGGTCTATAAAACCTATGTACATATATGTATTTATAGATCTGACCCTTGGCAACAGTTCTGATTCGGACTGGAAGCGAATTAGTCAGCCCGCGGCTCGGTATTAGAATTTCACAAGCTTTGCGCGGGTTTTCGGCAGATTCGTGACATGCGACACGTGTTGCTATATGTATATGCAGAAAGACTCTGGAGAGAGAGGGGGAGGCATGGAGGGGGAGTATTATCAGAGAAAGCAACACGCTTACATCAAGGTGCAACCTGCGGCAATTAGTCAAGTTTTAGTTCAACTAATTGCATTCTTTTGGCATGACTACAAATGACAACAGGTGCTCTGCCTATATAGGGCACGAGTCATTAGTCAGCGCATGACTATATGTTATGCATTATCAGGCCGAGCAACAATGGAGTTGTACTCCAGCTATATTTCATCATTTTACTACCCGAATTAGTCAGTACAAATAAGTTAAATTTTAAGCAAAACGGTTTCTTTGTTCATCCTTATCATCTCAAGGTTCAAGGATCTGCTTAAGTATAATTCGAAACGATTCACAATGCTGTGCGGAACTGATTCACGGCGGAAAATAGATGGAAAGCCTGAAATTGTATCTGCACTGTGATCCAGAGAGGAGGCAGTTATGCATAGGCTGAATAAGTGGAGCTTGTCAAAAGAACTGCAAGCGATATACCCCTCGTACTGGCAAACAGGGTACAAACAGGGCTCATCAGGCCCACAACTTAAATAGATTGCATAAAACAACAAATAGGCGTCGCACGTCGCAGCGAGACGGACGATATAAAAGATGAACAAATCAGAAAATAATACTAAAGACCGATATATCAGCAACATTTTTGTTTTATTTTTTTTTTGCCTCGCAATTGATTTACATAATCAACGAAAACGCGTTTTATTTTGCTGGCTCTGCTTAATACCCTCCCCTCTGCCCCCTTAGCAGCTCCTCAAGCTTTTGTCACCCCCCTCTGAATTGTTGTTGTTGTAAAGCTCTGTGCATTTAATTGAACGCTGATTAAGTTTTTATTCAATGAACCAAAATGTTGCTGCATAGCTACATAGCATGTTCTATAGATACCACAGTGCGTGTGTGTAAGTATGTGCACACACACACCCACACACACGCACACACAAATGTATTCATAGATTAGTCATTGATATGGACAAAGTGTTCCCATTCGACTTGGCACATTTCTAAACGTGAATAATTTAATAATGCCTCATTAAGCTAATGAATTTAGTTCTAACTGGCAACTGATTGATTGAAACGCCTCTATGCAGCATGTATATACCCCATCTAAAATCTAGGGTATTTACATATATGTAGATATATATATGTGTACATTAATTAATATAAAGCTCTGCTCCAAAACTAATCAGACTAATCACAGACTTTATAGTGGGCGTTAAGCTGGTCACTGATCAAAGTCAAGGATTTGAACCAGTGCGACGGTTCGACGGTTCGAAACTTCTATAGATAAATGTAGTTATTTAATATGACCATGTATTCTAATAGAATTGTGGTTTGTTTGAAAATAAAGACGAAACCTAAAGATATTCACAGCCTGTTTAGCGGGGCTTAGGTGGTTAATAGTCAAGGATTCGAACCAGAGAGATGGTTCGAAATGTCTATATATATTTGTTCAGTTATTTAATATGTATTCTATTTGAATTGTGGTATATTTTAAAGTAAATACTTAACCTTAAGACAAATAACATCCTTTTTAGTGGGCCTAAGGTGGCTTAAGGTCAAGGATTCGAACCATTCTTTATATAAATTTATTCAATATGACAAGGAATTCTTATTGAATTGTGGTTTATTTTAAAATGAAGACGAAACCTAAAAACATTCTCAGTCTATTTAGTGGGTTTTAATTTAGTTGAAAGTCAAAGATTCGAATCAGTGCAAGGGTTCGAACCTTCTATTAATAAATTTATAAAATTATATTTAATTATTCAAAGAATGGTGGTATTTTTTAACGTAAAGAATTGACCTGAAGATATATGCACAGATATTAAAAAAATATAATAAATATTATTTAATTAATTTAATAAATTAAAAAATTAATATATAATATTTATTTCGACTTCTAGAACGCATAAGCTTAGCTTGGGAACAGTTCGGACTGTATAATTAATAAAAAGAAATATCGCAGAGGGTTTTAAATGTGTTTCCATTAATTGAAAATTTGAGAATTATACGAGAATATCAATAAATAGATTTGTTTGAAATAAGAAATAAAAGAGACGAGAAACCCGTTCGCCTAAAATATGGTATGACAGAATCGATTGATATAAGCGTGGGAATAGAACTTAAGTGGGATGATCTCAGCGATGGCTGATTTAATTTTAGTCGCTTCCGCTATGCAAATCGCTCTCACTAAATGACACCATGACAGGTGTATTAGCTGTACCCCGCCGAAAATAATTAAACATTTGGCCAGAACAGGACCAACAAATCGCAGCGCAGCAGCTGCCCGGCAGAAGTCATAAGCTTGCGTCTGGACACATAAGGTGGGAAATCTGTGGCAGGAATAGATATTTTCCCAGGCCTAAGCATGGCATTTGTAATTTCACACTTTGGCCAACCAACGACAACAATCGAGAGTAAATTCGCATAAGATATTTTTGTAGGCACTTTAAACAGAAGCATAGCTAATGACAGGACTCATACCAGGACTCGGACCCGGGTCGGGATCTGCTGCGGATCTACCCTCGCGTGGGGTGGTTTTGGACCCACGCACATGTGTGTGCCTATGAGAAACCTGAAGAAACCCATCCATAAATAATGTTGAAAGTCTCAAAACGAAAAAATACAAAATGTGTCAATGTAAACAAATCGAGAGTGCGAGTGCGTCCGGGGCTGGGAACTGGGAATCTGTCTGTCTGTCTGTGTCGTCTGTGGCATGCAACGCACTCGTTAAAGCCTCGACCTGCCACTTGGCCGAATCGATTCTCGTGCTACCTGGCCCGAGTTCGGGCCGGGCTCATGATGTTACCTGCAGCTAATGGCTAATGGCCGGCAGCAGACCGCGCTACCGACATAAATCCATAAAAACATACGACAACAACAACAACAACAACAGCACAACAGAAAGAAAAGAAATAATTAAATTGCAATTATGTGCAAACAATTCCAAATCCGGAGATTCGGAAAAAGTTAATTACACGACAATAAAGAGCAGAAGCAGCAACAGTCACAAACTCAGCCTCAGCCTCAGTCCCAGTGTCAACAACAACAACAACAACAGCAAACTAGTTCGAACCCAGTTGCCGCTGGTCTTTTGGGCCCTGGACTGAGACTCAGGTACATCCGCTCGGGGTTTCTCTCAGACGATTTGATTTCGCATTTCGTGCTGCTCTTTTGGCTCTGTCTCTGGCTTTGAGTTCGGCTCTGTTGCTGCTTGGGTCTTGTCTCTGGACTTAAGCTGACATTAATGTGCATTTGGTTATCTGGCTTCTGGTCGTCTCTTAATCGGTTTGTTTGACTGATTCCTGGTGACACGTCGTCTACATTATCATTAGCGTCTGCGCGCACTTTGATCGCCCATTTACCGATTGCCCAGCCGATTATCCGTGCCTCTACCCCTCCCCCGAGCCTGTCTAATGAAGACGGACAAACAAATTAGCTTCGGTCTGATTTCAAATTAGTCTCTGGCGTTTTTTCTTTAAAGAGACATGGTCATGAGCTTAGCTGACAAATACAACAGATACGATTATAATTGGCAGTTGTATTTACACCAGTTTCACCAACAAGAGTGGAATCTGGGTGGATTTAAACTTCCTTTTATGGGTTAACAGCTCAATGGGTCTATTAAAAATGCCTATTAGTTGGGGTGAAGAAGAGGTATCCAATTTTCATGAACATGGGTCAAAAAGAAAGGGTATATTGTATTTTGGCCAATGTATTTAAGTGGAATAAATCCCATTGGATTCATTTATTCTTAATCAGCATCAACAACCGAGTATACAAAAATCCACACATGTTGTCGGAAAATGAGTGAATGTCTATGATAAAAGACTTTCTATTAACTTTGTCACATAACTCATGTTAACTTATGCTCTGCTCTGCTCTGAAGTACCTTCCCTTTTTAAAATTGGGAAGGTCTGTTATTTGTAACCTTAGGTCCCAAATAGACCATTTTATCTCTCTCTCTCTCTCTCTCTCTCTCCCTCTCTCTCTTGCTCTGCCTTTCCTGTGTCGCTATTTCATCAATTCTGGAACACAATTGCTTTAGTTTCCATATAGAGCTTTAATTAGATCAAGTGCCATCTAGTTAAAATGTTAGTAAAGCAGGTCAACTGTTCGAGTCTACGACAGTCCGACTATCCGAGCGTCCGATTGTCCGAACGTACGACGGAGCAACTGGCTGACCCCACTGAGTGACAGCTGGGGTTTAGGTGGGTTCAGGCGAGCTTAATTAGATCTGCATACGGAATGTGGCGCACAAGTTGGGTTAACCCCAAAATGGAGTTGGAAAACTCGAAAAGCGCTCAACAGTGCGTAGTGTGTGCTGCAAGGATGCACTTGGCATTGCTCTCCCTTTGGATATGCCTAGCCGGAGCCCTGGATTGGAGCCAGCTGATGAGTCCGAGGCCCGTGGATAACTACCAGAGCCAGCTGAAGCAGCTGCTGGAGCGGCTGCTGCGGCGGGCACAGGTGCAGCGCTGCTTTGCGGTCATCACAGACGACCTGCACCACGCCCTCTACGACCGGGCGTACTTCGAGGCCGTGGGCCCTCTGCCCTCTGCCCGACCGCACTTTCTGCTGCGGCTGAATGCCAGCGAGAATTTGCGCAGGCCGTCCAGGCAAGTGGAGCTGCTGCTGCGCGCGATCCGGGCCAGTGACTGCGACCTGTACGTGCTGACCCTGCTGAATGGGTGGCAGGTGAAGCACCTGATGAAGTTCGTCTACGAGAGTCGCGCCTTGAATATGCAGCGCAAGTTCCTCCTGCTGCACGATGTCCGGCTCTTCACCGAGGATATGCTGCACGTGTGGAGCGTCTGTGTGAATGCCGTGTTCCTCCGGCGACAGCTGGACAACAGGTGAGTCATCCTTTGGCCAATTCCTTGAGCGCCCAACTCATCTAGTGGAAGTTTCCCTCTGGCAGCTACAGCATTTCGACCATTGCCTATCCGGGCATATTGAGCCGCGTTGTGGTCCTCAAGCAGCTGGAGAACTGGAGAGCTGGTAAACGCATGGAGGGAGCAATCATTTTCACGGATAAAACTCGAAATTTGCACGGTATACCATTAGAAACTATCTCCCATTTCCACCTACTGCTACATCTTAGAATAAGAACCTTTATCAGGAGTAAGAACTGGATCGATCTAGCCTAGTCCGTCTGTTCGTTCCGTGGAAGCTACAAACGCTAGAGACTATATGTAGAACCAGATTGCAATTTTTCCTTGATATTCTTTTCTTTTTCAATAATATTATATGAGCTAGACAAAGCAAACGTAGCCTGCAGGATCTAGTGTAGTATACACTGACAAAGTAGAACCTTATGGATACCTTTCCCCTTTTACAAATATCTGAGAATAGTGAAATTCGAAAATGCTTAGCTTTATGAATATATCTTGCAGAACAAATTATATATACGTTCTTCCCATAGAGGTATATATAATATATAATCAAGATTCTCCGGAATAGCTTTAAAAACAAAAAGTCTTTTTTTCAAAAGAACCTAATTTTCAACCAATCGCTCCTATGGCTCCTGTGGCTCGATCCGGCATTCTCGGTAATATGTACAGACTACAACGGAAGACGTCCCTATGCAAAGTTACCAGACGAGAACTTTCAAATTTAGAGACTAGTTGGCATAGAAAAAGGCAGATGGACAGACGGACATGTCTATACAAACGCGGCTGTTTATGCTGATCTACAATATATATATACGTGATGGGATCGGAGATGTTTTCACCTACAAGGGTATAACAAGTTATATTAAGGCTTGCATTAAATATACACATATCCGAATTTTATATAAGCAAAAGCAGTCAAAATGAATCACCTTTGTTATTTGCAACCAATCAGAAAGATCTGGTTTATAGTTTGTTTTTCGATATTCGTGTGTGAAGTAACATATTTTAAATATTTAAAAATAAATAGATGCATGCATGCTACTTACCTGGTTCTGGCTATTTAAAGCTGCTGCAAAGTGTCCACAACCGGGTATATTCATTCTAAATATATTTGCAGGTGCTCAACTGGCCGTGGCCATTGCTGAGCACGTGCCGATGGTGCAGCTGAATCGATCCACGAACACTTATCAAGGCGTTGAGGTGGAAATCATGAACGCCCTGGCCAAGGCCCTAAATTTCCAGCCGCTTTATTATGCGATAAATGAGAGCGACGCCAGCGATTGGGAGCAGTCGCTGCAGGGGAACGAGACCCGCATGGAGAGAGGTCTGGTTGGGGAAGTGGTAAGTTTTTGGCTATATATGATGCCGGAGTAGTCCACATCCTTGAGCTATCTCTCGACAGGCGCAACACAATGCTCGCTTTGGCATTGGGGATCTGCATCTGTTCCAGAGTTATGTGCAGCTGGTGGAGTTGAGTGTGCCGCACAGTGTTGAGTGCTTGACGTTCCTGACGCCCGAATCATCCAAGGACAAATCCTGGCAGACCTTCATACTGCCCTTTAGCGGCGGCATGTGGGCTGGCGTCCTGCTCTCCCTGGTGGCCGTCGGCACCATCTTCTATCTGATCAGCTACTTGAATGCGCTGCTCATGGGCAGCAGCAGCCGGTTGGCCTTCTTCCGCTGCCTGCGCCGAAGACGGCGGCAGCTGCGCCGAGATCCGCTCAGCTGGCAGCGTTTAAGCTTTCGCATTACCCTGGGCAGGCATCGTCCCAGACCCCAGCTGGGTGCTGCTCGTCGGGACATCTTTGATAACTATTCGAATTGCATTCTGCTCACGTACAGCATGTTGCTCTATGTGGCACTGCCCCGCATGCCGCGCAACTGGCCGCTGCGCGTGCTCACGGGCTGGTATTGGGTCTACTGCATCCTTCTGGTGGCCACCTACAGGGCCAGCTTTACGGCCATTTTGGCCAATCCGGCAGCCAGGTATGGCATGCGTGTCAAGTGCTTGCCACATTCATTCATTCAATATTCATATATGCCCGCTTCTCTTCTTCACACTCAGCGTCACCATTGACACGCTCCAGGATCTGAGCCGCGCCCGCATCCCGCCCACAACTGGAGCAGCCGACAACAAGCAGTTTTTTCTGGAGTCCAGCGATGAGACAGCCCGCGAGGTGGGCGCCCGCATGGAAATAGTACAGCAGCTCGACGACTTGGTGAGCATGTCAAGATTATATAGGAAATTCTGGCATATATGCTGACTCCCGATCCCTGCCAGACCAAGCGCATAGCTAGGGGTCAGTGCGCCTACTATGACAACGAGTTCTTTCTGAGATATTTGCGTGTGGCAGACGAGGCACATGGTGTGGCCATGGGCGCGCTACACATCATGAGGGAGTGCGTTGTCCATATGCCCGTCGCGCTGGCTCTGGAGAAGAACTCGGCGCTGAAGCCGCACGTCGACAGCATAATACAGCACCTGGGCGAGGGCGGTGGGTGCAGCAAACCATTCAATTCAGGCTCCATATATACCCCCTCTCTCTCTCTCTCTCTCTCTCTCTGTCTCTCGGGCAGGTCTGATTGCCAAATGGCTGCGGGATGTGATCAAACGTTTGCCAGCCGAGGAGCAGGCGCCGCAGGAGGCGCTCATGAATCTGCACAAGTTTTGGAGCTCCTTCGTGGCACTGGGCATTGGCTATCTGGTGTCGAGTCTTGTGCTACTCCTGGAGCACTGGCACTTTAGGTATATCGTCATGAAGCATCCCATATATGATGTCTACAATCCGAGCTTATACTATAATTTCAAGCGGATTTATCCGCACGAATAACTTGGCAATAATATAACTAATATTATTATATTAAACAATTCTTGTCCTCATAAAAAACAACTGACAATTCTTGTGTGAGCCGCTGACGCAATCAACGGAGTCCACTTTGGAAGGCGGCATACCATAGAAAATAATACCATATATCAAATCGATTCAAGTGGCCTCAAGTATCCAGCAATGTGTTGTATAAAATTGAAAGAGTTTTCAATTCGTTTCGTAAATAATAATTCGCATTGTTTAATATCTCGTAGGCACATTAAGCATTCATTATTTGTTTATTGCCCAAAAATCTTGGCCAACAATAATCGAAATATCGTAAATAATTCAGTTGCCAAATGCCAGGCTAAACACACAGAAAGAAGAAAGCATTAACATTTCAAGAGAACCGATCAACTCTGAAGAAATCACGAGGCGAGACTGTGTTATTCGTAATCTGTGCTATAAACACCAACAAGAATTTGCCGGTGGTTCGATTCAGGGTTTGAACCAATGCCTTGCCTTTAGTTTCGGTTCAGTTCGTGAAGCGGCTTTTCCACAAACGTTCCACAAGTGACTTTTCGATTCAAGCCTGGAATCATCTTTTTTACGCCATTCTAAATACTTATAACTATTTAATTTTTGATGTTTGCAGATTTTAGCTGTAGAAAATGGTTCGAACTAGTTCAATTTTTAAAGGTTGATTGTAAATAAACAGCAGCCTAATCTGAAGAACTTTTACTATGTTTGCGAACCAACTCGAAATCTGAATTCCAATTAAGGGTTTACCATTTATCGAAGCTTTTACCAAACAATTGTCCCAAAAATAGCTGAAAATTTAATTGAATTTCAGTAAGATCTCGCTCCAAAGTCTAAAATCTTTGGCCCTAATAATTGCATTGCTAACACATTTGTTAGATGCCAATTATTGAATACATATCAATTTTAGCCCTCGTTATGTATATGAAAATATTTACGGCTTAGATTATTTCCAGTTCAACGGGCAATTATTAAAATAATTAAAAATTGAATTGTTTCATTACAAAACAATTTGAACCAAAATCAAGAATAGAGCAGCTTCATGAACTGAACCTAATGTCAGGAAACCGTGAACCGAACCAGCGACCAAATCATTTTGGTTTTGTAGCCCTGAACCTTGTGAAGCATAGGAATTCGTGGAACTGAACTGTTTGGGCAAAGTCAAAAGAACTGAACTTATTCTGGAAATGGACTTCTATCTCGGCTCAGTCAGGCATAATAATAATAAGGATTTTCATAATTTGAATTGCTATCTTAAATTTCGACTGTATTTAGCTGTTGCTGCATAACATTTTATTAATTCATTTATCAGGCAAATTGCATAACAACAACAACTAAAACAAGCGGAGCAACATTTCATTGTTGTTGTTAATTTCAGGCATTTTTTCACAGATTGTTTTGTTATTTCTTTTGATAAATATTTATGACTCTTATTTGTTTTGCTTTCGCCTCTGTTGTTGTTGTTGCTGTTGCTTCTTTTTACCCGCGCGTTGTTTACCATTCTATTTTATTTAATTTAATTAGTTTTGCTTCATTTTACTATGCTTCGTTTTTGGCCGTGCTCTCTGCATTCGTGCCCCCTTTGCTTATCCCCAGTACAACGAAATTCTTGTTGTTATTTTTGTTTAGTTTTGGTTTTTTGTTTTCAACATTACATGAAATCTCTAATTGGCTTTTCCGCTGCAAACAATACAAATCCAATGCCGCCCAGCCCGCCTCCACCCCGCCCCTAACTCCAGCCACGCCCAACAAGGGCGCATATCAAAGAGCATGTTATGCGGAATTTTTTATTGTTGTTCTTGTCTTGCTTGAGGTAATCTTATTTTCATCAACATATTTCTCAATTACATGGAAATGTTGTTCAAAACTTACGAACATCCTGGTTTGTTTCCAACGTTTGCAACATTTCATGTATATCAAGAGATTTTATTAATCTGCACAAAAGTATGCTACACTTTTTTCCACTTTTCCACGGCAACAATATTTCTGATCAACTTTATATATAAAACTGTTTGTCCAGACTAACTGACTGATTGAGTTTTGTAAGAATTTATTTGGTACGTTCTTCGGTGGCAAAAGCGGGTCAAAGGTTTAATAAACGAAAGTTTACCAAGATTAACATGAGGGAGCCCGTTGATTGCAACACTTGGTTCTTTATTCGATGCACTTAAAACCAATTTTTAAATAGAAACGGAGCTCAAGATTGGTTGATTTCAATTTTCCACGGGCGTGTACGGCCTACTGGGAGGCAACTCCATCGATATTTGTGTATCCACCTTTATATAAAAGTAAATAAAGGAGTTTGTTTTAAAATCGAATATTATTTCATTTGAATTTTTTTGATATCCGTCAATTTAGATATTTTTGTATTCGTTTGTTGTGCATTATTGTTTGGATTACAGCATCTGAATTTATTTATAAAAAAATTCTAAAACAATTTTAGTTTTTTTATCGCGTGTCAAGCGATGAATCCTCTCCAGACCGAGGAAAAAGTCACCATCAAAGGAACCAAAGCCTTCACGGTATGTGACCCAATTCCTGTAGAAATCCGCCTTGCCGCTGATTCGCTGCTGGATAACTGTGCAGCCAGGATCTGCTGTCGCACTGTCACAAAGTACATCGAAAGGAGCTTTTTGATCCGGATTAATCTTATGAATCCCCGGAGCATCAGCAAAGTCGGTGCATTCACTGTAAACGGGCTTCTCGCAGCTTTTAAGTTTCCTTTCGCAAAGGTTTATTTCGTTCTTGAGTTCGGATATTTGTTGGGCCTGTTGATCAATTGACTTCTTTTGTGTTTCCAGCTGCTCTTCATAGTCCGGGATTTTGAAGGAATTGGAAATAAGTTTACCCATTTCCTCTTTTATTTCTTATTTCTTTATCTCTTAAAATCCTGACTAGTTGAGTGACTGAGTCTGAGTTGCTGTAGTTACCTTTTGATTCGGGATATTCCGGCCGGGATATAACCGCTAAAAAGAATATTAGGACATATTAAACAATGCTTACATTTAAGGAATATTGCACAGAATCAGCTTTTTTTCAGCTTTAATAGTCGCATTTTATTATTTGCCTCTAGAAATAAAACAACAATAAACAAATTGTACAACATACGTTTTGTTTGAATTTCACAAAAATTATCAATTTTTTTGTAGACGGTTTGAATTGAAAAGATATCATTAAAATCAAGTAGCAGCTACATTATTTTGTGACTTGAAAGTTCAGTGGCTGATAAAATGGACACCGACACCATTATGAATTACAATATTTAGTTGATATTTTAATAATCTAGATCTATTTAGATTAAGTCATATATTCAGTTGATTCTGCTTGAAAGCATTGAAAGCTGCACGTAAACGTTAAAAATACTTAAACAAATTGGGCGTTTTAAAAGCAAATACCAAATGAGTATATACCCTACTCGTACTAGTTATTATATAAAAACTATATATTATTATATAAATCCATACATATATTTAGTATATATATGTATGGACATTTTGTGTTTAATATACTTTGTGTTCGCATACAAAATCTACAAACAATTCGTTCATTCTGAGAGTTTGTCGTGCTGAGGCTCAGAAATCGAGTAAATCCGGAGCGTATTCAGTTTTAAGCACAGTTGTTAAATCAATTCCGAATTGTTAGGATATAATTTCAAGCACTTGTTTGCAGTCTACGTTCTTATCGGACTTACTAGCGATATAAGGCCAGCGCTCGTTTTGGTTTTGTTTATGAGTATCTTTTAGTTGTTGAACATCATTTGTATAACAGAAGACGAAATATATATGGTACATTAACTTTAAACTAAGCATAGATCATATTTTGAATGCAGTTTCTATTGTAGTTTTCATTTAAAATTCTTATATGCAGTAGAGTTCCGTTTAAAATATAATTTGTTTAACTCTTGTTTCAGTTATGGCGTTTTGGACAGCATCGTAATAATAATATTCGTCTTACTATACTCTGCAAAGTATTCACTCATTTTATTCAAGACAGATTCATTCTGCCTTGCCCATAGTTGTAAACTTCAGTTAATATAAATCAAAATCATTTCATATCAAATGTGTGGTATGCAAACCCAAAGTTGTTACAATGTAGGAAAAGATTATAACTAAATCGCATTGCGCTTACTATGATTTACATAAATTGTTGATTATATATAAATATAAATATATGTGTATATATATTTATATATATGTATATAGAATCGCTTTAATATATCACTGTTGCTGGTTTATCTTGATGCTGGCCGCTGTCCTAGCCTGCAGTCTCCGCAGTTTCCGCCTCGAAGACATCGTCGGACTCTTCTTGCCTGGCCACATATTCGTTATCCTCCTGCTCCTCCACGTCGTCGTCGTAGTCTTCGGGATATTCGCCAAACTCAGACGATTCACCAAGCATCCAGGCATCGTTTTCCACTGAATTTCTTGGACTGTAGTTTATGCTGCCCGTGATGGTCAGATTGTTGGCCGGTCGCTGCACACTGATAGATGGAGAGCATCGGCATAAGTAGAGAGTAGAGAGAGATTATATTTTAGGTACAGACAGATAATTCCGTATATAATGTAAATCAGTTGAATATATATTAAATGAGTGTAGCGAATACAAAATGAGTGCTAAACTAGCGACTAACTAAGCTTTTAATTGTTGTCTATATGTGTGAATGTTGTATTAGTTAAAAGGTTAGATCCATTTAGATATATAATATAGTATGAATGATGACCAGAACGAGTTAATTAGTTTAGGTAAGTACAAGACAAGGCAAACATTTTGTACAGCTAACGAACAATTGTTAAGATTTGCTTAGCGCATCAACAATAATGGTTAAGGATTAGTATTCACGTTCGATTATGATAGCTGCCAAATGATACAAGTATGATATACTAGTTACATTAGTTTGATTTGTTACGGATGCGCATTTGTTGCAGAGTGCGCGTGGCACAGGCCGGCGCTTGAAAAGCCGCACAAGACATTTATTTTCCGTTATAATATTTAAATTTGAGACAATTGCACAATTGCGAGCACGAATAGCAACGTAAAAAATGATTTGAATGCAATACAATATAAACAGTAACGAGCAACGAGCAACGAGTAACGATTAACGGGCAACGGGCAACGAGTGGCGAGTAGCGAGTACTCTCAGCATGGCAACTTCTCTATTACATTGTCAACTCGTCGAAGCTATGCAGCTTGTATGTGGGGGCGTCGCATTCGCAATTCGTTGTCGCTGTTCGTTGGATTGGAAGTAATCGTATGTACAACGAGTAATAATCCATAAACAAATTCGTTGCTTGATTTCATTTGGGTGTTCGTTCACATTGATTTGATGAGTGTCTAGAATATATGCTTCTAGTGTCACAATCAAGATTAATTACGTAGTTAGGAACCGAAATTCGCTGGGTCGGCTGCTTGCACCATGTTAAATGTAGTTTTCAGACTGTGTACGGAAGAGAGTTCGATTTGTGTGTGTGTGCGCTGTTTGTGGTGTTGGAAAGATAGTTGTCGAATGTTTTGGTTTTTGGTGTTGGTTTTCTTAGTTTTATGGCTGTTAC